TCAACACCGTCGTTTACAGGTGAAAAGGGTAAAAATAAAGAAGAGGAGGAAGAAAAACAGGAAAACGTAGAGGAGGGGGAGAGACGGCGGTTGGATTTTATGAATCAAATCCGCTGTTCATGTGGAATGGACGCCCTTTCAAGTCTGAACGACATTTTCACCGATCGCGAGCTTATTTTTCCGCGTCGTTGGCTTCAGAATTTCAGCGCCGGTGATGAATGGCGCTATTTCGGCATACGTCTTTTTAGCAGTGGTATTTTATTTTCCTTCTTCACGCTGCCATGTGCGCCTTTAACCCTACGTTGGATGGAGCATCAGCTCGGGATGTTTTTGGTCCGCAGGGGGGTTTGGTCTCTGGCGGTGTGGGTTTTTGCGCATGACATACTTTTCTCCGCCATCCAAGGGGTCCTGGCGGGGGCTCTAGTAAGATTCCTCCATCGGAGTCCCAATACAGGAACGGTTCCGTCGCTTAACAAGCCGGATATGGAAGGTTATCCTGAAAGAAGAAAAATAGGGATGGTAGATACCCGGCATCCGTACTATACTACGGGCGCCGCGTTTATTCTTTCGTCCGTCGTCGCGCATTTCGCTACATATCCGATCTTAAATATGACGATTCTGCACCATTTCGGACCCATTCTCCCAGGTCCGTTGTCTTTACGGAGGCTATTGCAGGGTTCCTTATTTGTAGCCCCTTTTAGCGTATTGTTGCCTTTTCAAATGTATTGGATCGCGTGGTATGAGACCATTGGTGCGGCGGTCATTCCGACGCGTTCATCGGTATGGCGCCCACATACGGATCTCTCTCACGAGCACCACTTCCGCCTTGATTATCGTCATAATCATACTAATGACCTTAGTAATGATTATTGTGATTCTTATAATTATTATCGCACCCTTGCGCTTTCCTCTGCCTTTGCGGCGTCGATGGGGCTTGATATTCTGCTCTACACGGCTCAGCGCCGCGCTCGGCGGGGTTTTATTCGTTTTCTTTACAACCCGAAGCCCTTGCCGAGCATTGGGCGCAATCCCTTCAACGGCTACTCCTTTCGCTTTACCAGTAATGTGATTATTTTTGGCCTAACGAGCTCTACACTGCATTTCCTCTTCGGGCTTGTTTAGATAATGATCTGGAGGGAGAGGAGAAGGAGGGGGGTAATCTTAACTGGACGGTTTTACATGCACACGTCGAAATAGCAGAGTAGTCAGAGGGAGAATCACCTAAATGGGCTCCAAGGAGAGCATGTTTGAATCAACCCAACGAATAATAATAATGATAAGGAATCTAGTCACTATTATTATTATTATTATTGTTGATAGGGTAAATGATCAATAATGCTTTTGACTATTTATTAAGTAATCCATTTATACCATTTTAATTTCCTTTTAATAGTAATATTCCATATAAGTGAAACATTTAATAGTTTATTTCAAAAAAAACAGACATACAAAAAATATAGTATTTAAAATTACGTATTGGTATAGTATTTTCCCATATTGCTGTTGTTTAAATTTCTGGTAAATAAAATAACATAAGATATTTCATTTTGCCTTTTTTTGTTGCTAAATGAACCACTTAAGCGCGGAGCAATGTCGTCAACATGTCTCCGAGATGCTTCGGAATAAGGGTGTCATTTGTAAAAATTTCTTCAACACCGGAAGCTGTCCGCGGAACCCGAGCTGTCCCTATATGCACATCCGCAACGGTGAGGCGCGCCCGATGCCGTGGAGCACGTGCACGTTCTTCAATAAAGGCGTCTGCCTCCGCGACCGCTGCACCTTCTTCCACGGCAGCCAATCCCAGCTCGACCTCCTCCGGGCCAGCGGCGCCGAGGTTTACCACCCGCAGGATTACATGCAGGTCGCGGAGCCGCCGGGGCAGTTCCTCGCGCCGGACGGCAGCATCGCCCCGGAGAAGGCGCAGCTGTCCCCTCTCCAGGCGTCTTCCCTGAGCGTCCCGCTACAGCCCCCCCCGTTGCCCTCGATGCTGTCCTTCTCGGCCTCCTCCTCCTCCTTGAGCGTGGGGCGGCCCTTCCTGCTCTCCCCGCAGGCCCCCGTGGAGGACCCCCCCCTCCCTCCCCCCCCC